TATTTTTGAAAATCTGGGGGGGGGAGGGGTCAAGTGACCCCCCTTGCCCCTTCCTGCGGGTGCCCATGTTTATATCGTAATTTTTTTCTAGATATTTCTAAAAGTTTCTCGATTATTACATCATTATGAACTTTTTAGTGATTGCATCATCATGATGAGCAACTTCCGCTAGGAAATATTTAAATTAAAATATTGAAAATATAGTTTACAATAATATATTTAAGTCTGGAACTTGTCTGTCCTGGCTTCTGAACTGTTTGACAGATAATTCAAAGAGCATGCCTAATCAAGATGTCTGGCATGTTAATTAAGTGAGCGGGTAAAGTTGTAAACGATTCTTGTCTGGTGATGTAAATGAATGACATAGTATTGTGGGGAGTTCTGATAGGTTTAGTATTTAGTATTGTTGCGTCAGCGAAGTCACGTGACTAGTATCACGCCACTCCTTCTCTCGAACCTTCGTGAATTATCGGGAGACTACTAGATATGTGTTAGTCTTGTATATATAAGACGTTGACAACGTGACGGGAACAGAGGTAATGAGTAATTGAATGTATGCGGACAAAATATTGTTGGCCACGTGAGACATAGCGTTGTTATAGAGTGACTGTTGAAATTAAGTGTATCGTAAAGTTATATTCAGAAAGAATAAACCAGTTTTATTTTATTTTTTTAAATAATTTGTTATGCCTCCAGTCGTTAGTTAATTAGCAGATAGCCCTCGTGTAGCTTTGCGCAAAATTCAAAACAAACCAAATCAAATATTTGTGGAAATAAAAGTGTTATTTTACAGTGAAATAACTTTGTGTCAATATTTCTCATTTCTAGTCAAATCAGACTTATTTACACTTTTCCAAGCAAATTACGGCCTTCTGTTGTGATCTTAATTGATTCACCCTCTAATGTTTAAGTGTAGCTTAGAATATTACGCATTTTCTTTATTAATCAATGAAGAGAAAACTGAGCGAGCTTAATTAAATAATCCACCCAATGACCAGAATATTAGATTCGAATCCACTTCGATATCATTTTTTCACTTCAGAAAAATCATTAATAAATTTGAAACGTTACATTTTCAAAATGTTAGTGTGATTTGTTCCTATAAATAATGTTTTAAAGGAATAACACTTTTGAGAACTTGTTTAATAACATCGAAAGTTTGTAAGGATAAAATAAATATTTAAAAGTATAAAGTGGGGCCTTTTTGGTCAACATATCAGCTGTATTATAAGCATGTGAGCTACATAAGCTTGATATGTTATACTTTTGAGGTAATTTAATAGTTTTTGTTTTACTTTGGTTAACATTCTTTGATAACTTACTGTTACGTTTCCGTTCGTTCGTTAATTTTCTGTAAATTCGTTCCAACGAAACTTTAGCGACACAAGTCCTTTCGTAAATAAAACTGGTTTATTCTTTCCGAATACAACTTTACGATACACTTAATTTCAACAGTCGCTCTATAACAACGCTATAACTCACGTCTCATGTGGCCAACAATATTTTGTCCGCATGCATTCAATTACTCATTACCTTGTTGTCCCGTCACGTTGTGAACGTCTTATATATACAAGACTAACACATATCAAGTAAATGCTAGGGCATTCTTGAAGGAACAGGATATTTCTAGAAAGAGGTGGCGTGATACTAGTCACGTGACCTCGCTGACGCAACAATACATTAAAAAGTATGATGAGCACAAAGACCGCGTGCCCCGGATTGCATTTCAGTAGCTATTAATTTTTCAATATGTGTAAGCTTGTTTGAGCAATGGTTAAATATATTAAAGAAATGTAGAAGCTGAGTTTTAGTAACATCCGTGTGATTAATATAGATTTACTTATAGATGATGAAATTGTCACTGTTCCTGGATCTGTTTAGAAGAAATATTACATAAAAATTAAAATAGGGGTAGTGGCAGAGAGGAAATAAATTATTTGTAGTTTATCATACGTTGTTTTATCTCACGTAAATTATAATACATTACATTCTGATTATTTTGTGTAGTAGCTGTTTCTTGGGGCCAAAGCTCTGAGTAGTTCCGGTAGCTAGCGAGCCCTTGTGTTAATAACTATGTATGTTCATTTATACAACAATTATTGTATATTTGTCATGTATTATCCTTAATTTAGTGTTTCCTTTTGACTTTTACTTACAAGACCTCTCACTATGTGTATGGTCGCCATATTACGTTATAATAGGTACAAATATCAAATCATCGAAATCTATCATAGACTTACAGTTATTTACTGAAATCCACCAGGAATCGATGAAATACTATGTTATTATATAGCAGTAATTAATATATTTTAGAACGAAAACCGTTAAACGAAAAGTTATTCCGCAACCGGGTTTTTGATTTTTATATAATACAAAATAATAACTAGCGCCATCTGTTGATATATGTTTTAATGTCAATGTGCAAGTTACGATAGGGGTGCTATGATAAAGCTTAAATGTACAAACGTAATTGGCAAACTCTTTCGTAATTTTAAAAACAGAAACTTATACGATGGCGCATCGTTTCATGACAGTTTCTAAAAGATTTGAAAATATCATTGCACGAACGGTATTAAATAAGAAAATAACTTTAACAAAACTGCAGGTGAGATATTTGAGGTCTTTTTTTTCTTCACTGTTGCTAACTTCAATAGCATTACTATAGCTCATTATATAACCTTTCTTTGATCATTGGATGATGTAACGAACATTCTTAACTTATGAAGTTACTTAGTGTTAAAATGATTTAGTATTCTGTTTCTAAATTAGAGCATACATTGCCAGAATATTGCTTTTAATTATCGCGTATTCGTTTGTGAGTAATAAAGCGTAAGAAATTATAAAAACGATATTTGACATTGTTTTTTCACTAAGTTTAAACATAAGGTGTTAGATCTATTTATTTTTTTAAATGTTAATTTTATTTGAGTTTTAAATATTAGTGAAATAAATAGTTGTTAGTATGAAAGTACATTCATGATTTTATCATAATCATATTTTTTCATGTCAAGCTTAACATAAATTCAGAAATTAAATTGTAATGCACAAGTCTAAAAGTTAAAACTAAAAGCAAGCACCTTGATAGAAAAAAGTATAGATAAGTGAACCCTCATTAAACCAAAAATCAACAGAAAAGTTTATTCATATAGGCTAAACTTCACAACTGTAAATTTAATCAATAATTCATGTATTCACGTTCTGAATCTTGATGGATAAATGTCTTGACACACATGCATTTCCTATAGATGCAGGATTTGGTAATATGTAGGTGACTCCACAAGTCTCAATATATTTCACTAATACAAGTAATTTTTATTCTGTAAGTAACTGGTTTGAATAAAATATTTTATGTAACAGTAATAGGGTGCTAAGTTTATTGTACACATGGTTGCATGTCCAATGTTCCAAGATTGCACCGTTATGTAAAATTTATCAAGTGATAACTTATACTATTAATAGTGTCCATGTATTCAAAATGACTACTATGAGAGAGTTTTCTTCAAGTATTTAATAATTATTTTTAAATTTAAATTGTAAATTCTAACAGAAACTTTCGATATAAATAAGTTATGGAAGACCTCCAGAACACGTGACATCTAAAGATGAAAAGGTGTGACATAGAAAGGCTGTTCCAGATTAGTTAGTACATAACTATCTTAGCTAAGACTAACCCTCATGGGTGTCCACGTAAAGTTTACTGGAGGGGGGCAAAGTAGTGTGAAATTGTGAAGTGAATAAAAACATTCATATACATATGCTGAATGAATAAGGAAATAATTATGTTTCCCATTTTCTTGGGGGGGGGGGGCAAGTTCCCCACTCTGCAATGCCCATGCTAATTCTTTTTTTGTTTGTTTATTGTTTAACTGTGGTGTCATGTTTCTCCAGTACACTCATTGCATAACTATTTCATTTACACGAGATTTTTTTACCAGCAATCAAAGAAAAACTTGGTGTGTAAGTACAACATATCCTTAACACTTGTTCTCGGGTGTATTTAAGATTTAAACACTTGGTGATAAACGGTATAAGAACAACTCTTTTTTTTTTTTTTAAACATTCTGAATGATGTTAGGAATATTGTAGTGAATATTTTCATTTCTTGTCAAAAGATTAGTATTTAATTCTACAGATATTATCATATGGTTTAACCCTACACAGTAAAATCAGGTTGTCTTGACAATACTTCACTTACAAAGCTATGAGGTAATTGAGAAAAAAAACTTTGTTTACTTTTGAATACTAATAAATGTGTCATCAGTAAGATACATATATTTCTCTAAACAGTTCATTCCTTTTCTTTTCTGTCATTGTTTGAATTTCTGAAAATAAATATGAAGCCCAATGTATCGTTTAATTCACCAGAAGTCACTGAGGCATACTGGCTTTAGGAATCCCACTCCTCATCATTAATCCTGGAGAAGGACAAATTGAAAGAACAATACTAGGTTTCTTATAGTGCTTGAGCTTATATATTTTGAATTGTTTTACCCACCACAGTGAACCTATATTTATATAGATTGGGTTTCATATAAATATTTTTTTTGCATTTCATTCAGCTTATTTACTGAATAATTCAGAAGAATTTGCAGCATATTCTTCAAATTCTGTATAAATATAGATTCAATTTGATGAGTAAAAAACATCCAAAGTCACTCTATAGGCTGTAAGAAATAATATTTGTAACTTGTGAAGAATGAAATTGAAAAGTCGAAATATTCGAGTAATTCCTGTTAGAGAATTATTTATTCAGTAATGAAAACACTGAGAAGACATTCAGTGAAATATTAGTTGTTGTTTTTTTGTTACTTTTAACAAGGAGGTTTTAACATTTACCAGTTCTCCAACATTTTTATTAGATATGCCAGAACCTTGAATTCCTGCATAAAACACCCGAAGCACTTAGTTTTCGAAATCTGTTACATCAGTGGCGACATCTCTGTGAGCATCCACCAAAAGGATTTGAGAAATACTTCCCTGGTGGAAAGAAAACATCATCAAATGCCAAATCAGGAGAGAAATCCCATAATTCAAGAGGAGAGCCAAAAGGTAGTAAGTGTGTGTGTGTGTGTGAAAGGGAACATTTAAACTTAATTTAATCAATGTAAGTTCAACAGCAATTGTATGTTTCAAAGTAATAACTTGAAGATAAACTTTATCTCAAAATTTTAAAATTATAACAAAGCTTCTTCACAAACAACATTTACAGTCTGCTTTCCATCTACTAACAAATAAAGATTTTGAGGTGATCCCACCCTTGAACACCCTATATCTTCTTGACCATGAGAAAAGCATTGTTGGTTGAGAAACAATCTAATAACTTTCGTACTTCGACCTTGAATCCATTTAGAATATTAAACATTGTCTAAAGCATCAACCTGTAAAGATTGTTTGAGATTGACTCAATAGGCTGGGAGTAATTAACTAACAGGCTTTACAAAATAGGGTTAAGTTAAATTCTTATCTGAAGGGATGAACATTTTTTCATTTGTGCATTGTGTTAACTGCACCCTGACCCAAACATGCACATTTCCATAAGCTTCACTTATCTACCTGTCTTTCGTTAAAAAGTTTCGTTTGTGATAAACAGAAATCAACAAACATTTCATTGTTAATCATGTGATTGATGGGGCTTGAAGAGACATTGCGAGAAGCTGGTCATGCGCCATCTTCATTTCAAACAGTTCTTGATGTCATGGGCTATTAGGCAAGGGTGACATTTGTATTGTCAAGACAGTTATGGATAGTAATGTCATTGCTGTTTCAATTAATTCAATTGTTAGTGATATGTAAGGTCATCCTGTCTCAATTAATTTGATTGTTAGTGATATGTAATGTCATCCTGTCTCAATTAATTTGATTGTTAGTGATATGTAAGGTCATCCTGTCTCAATTAATTCAATTGTTAGTGATATGTAAGGTCATCCTGTCTCAATTAATTTGATTGTTAGTGATATGTAAGGTCATCCTGTCTCAATTAATTCAATTGTTAGTGATATGTAAGGTCATCCTGTCTCAATTAATTCAATTGTTAGTGATATGTAA